ACATTTTATATTTTTATATTTATTTAATAAATATATTTAAAAATTATTAAATTTTTTAAATTAATTAATTTTGTATTTGGTCATTAAATCTTAAGATATTAAGTTTAAGTCCTATTTTTATAATAGTAGTTATTTTTAAATATTATTTCTTATTATTTAAACATTTAAAAATAAATTTAAAAAAAAAAATATGTTTATCAAATTTGATTATTGCCTTTAAATATATTATATTATATACATCAAGGATATAAATATTGATAATAAAAAATATTAAGATACAAACCTTATAGAAAATGTTATTATGTCATGAACAGGTGATTATATGTTTTCATTTTAGATTCAAATCAATCTATTTATATGTATAGACAACATTTAATTTTTTTATTATATCGTGTCTATTTTATTTTTATTGGTTATTAATGTCTATATGTAAATGTTGCTATTTGATAAGCTAAATAGCCACCAATTGAAGAGTCAATAAAACCTATTAAATTAATTATAAACATAATTAATTATTTATTTAAAATAGCTTTTTTATTGTAGAATTTATCACTCACATTTTCCCCAGAATTAATGCAGAACTTTAAAAAATAATCTAAATAGCCAACAATTGAAAAGTTAATAATTTATAAATCTAATAAATCAATTATAAGAATAATAATTAATTTCTTTAAAATTGGTTTTCTTATTACAAAATTTATTACATACATTCATTTTGCATATTTAATGTAGAACTTTGTAATTTATAAAAAAAAATTACAAAGTAATTTATAAATCTTATAAATCAATTATAAGAATGATAGTTAGTTTATTTAAAAATTAGCTTTCTTTTTGCAGAATCTATTACATACAATTTTTTTTTTTTTTGCAAAATTAATATAGAACTTTAAAATGTAATTTTTTTATTGTAGAATTAATGCATAATTATACAACACTACAACTTTTATATCGATAAAGATACAAAAATAAAGATTATAAAATTAACATAATTTTTATTTTAGTTTTGGTGGGTAGCCATAGCCAAAGTCAAAGTAAATGTTTGTTTCACTACAAAAATGTTGTAATTTAGAGTCGGTTAAAAGTTGACTCTAAATCATAAAAACTAACATAATATTATTGATTATTCGTCGATTTTTGACTAATGTTAACTAAGCCGACACAATTTTTTTTGTGTCGGCTAAGCCGTTAATAACAAATTTATTTATTTTAATTTTTTATTGTTAGTTAAGCCGACATTACATCAACACAAAATTTATTTTATTTTTTTCTTCATCTTCTTTTTTAGCTTATCATTTATTCGTTCGTATTTTTAACATTCGTTCGTAATTTTAACATTCTCAATACTCGATCCGTGAACCTTGAGATCTTAAGTGAACTTGATAAACAAGTGCACCACAACACATTTGCGTATATAACATTGAAAAAATTATCTTTATCTCTTTCAAAGCACGTATACTGTCAAAAAAGCTGACGCTATTTTAAGATGTAGCGTTGACTTTTTCGACACTAAATTTAAATTAAGTTTAGCGTCAGCTTTTTCGACACTAATTTAATTTAAATTTAGCGTCAGCTTTTTCGACACTAATTTAATTTAAATTTAAATTAAATTAGTGTCAGAAAAGCCGACACTATATATAAACGCTAAATTTAAAATATTTATTTTAAGTTTAGTATCGAAAAAGTCGACCCTATATATATTTTAAATTTAGCGTTTATGTATAGTGTCGGCTTTTCCGACACTAATTTAATTTAAATTAAAATTAAATTAGTGTCAGAAAAGTCGATGTTATTCTTAAAGAATAATGTTGGCTTTTTCGACAGTATTTGCGTCAGCTATTAACCAATGCTTATTTTTCGCAGCTATTTCAATGTTTTCTTGTAGTGTTTTATGTTCTCCTTTCAAAACATCAACCGTTTTTAAGATATAATTTTCAACTATATTTTAATCTTTTACAACTTTTTATAATTATTTTTATCTCATTAAATTTATTTACATAAAAAATATATATAAATTATTTGCCTAACATTTGAATAAAAAGGACAAAAACATGATAAAAAAAATGTAAAATAAGACCAGATAATGACTAGAAAACTGAAAATATAAGGTTCTTTTGTTTAGCTTTTTTTATTATGTTTATGTATATTTTTGGGTTAAAATATTAATTAATTGCATTACCTAATTTTCATTTAAATGAATATAATGGAATAAGTTTCGTGGATTGTCATTCGTTAGTTATTAGGGACATCTAGAAAACTTTCAAATTGAAATATGACTTTTAAATTAAGTTCCAAACTAGTGGATGCTGCTAAAAGGAATGATGATGTTATATGTAAAAAGGAAGAGACTCATAGAATGACAGAAACAAATAAAGTTTTTGCGCATTTTCGTTAATCCATGAACACAATCTATATAGACACATATTTCATTTGTATTTGGTAGTTTGACCGTGGAATTTATTTGTTTCTGTATTTTCGAAATATGAGTGTGTGACTTGTTTTAATTGATCTTTTTAAGTTAAAAAACGATCTTGGATCTTTCAAGTTTTAATGATAACAAACAAAATATTTTTTTAAGCAAAGCCAAATATCTACAAAGATATACTATATAAGACAAAATGTGAAAAATATATATCATCTGAAAGATGAAGAAAATCAGACAGAACATATAGTCTATCTCATTGTATTAAACGCATACTTCAAAATGAGACTAACATTAAATTTCATTAAAGATGTTATTTATTAACAGATCAAATAAGAGAGATGTCTCAAAACTATCAAAAGTTGTTAAGGAAGAAAAAGATAAAATATATGTGAGAAGTAAAAGGCAAAATCCCATATATAATGAAAAAGGCTCTACAAAAGACTATTATACGTTGACTTCAACTACTCTGTGCTAACATTATTTATGTCATACTCAATTTAGAAGAAAATGATGATAAGTAGCTTGCTAGATCAGATAAAAGATACATGCTTTACTGAAAGGTATTTAATGCTAACATTAAATGCATCAATGATAATCTCTAAGATCAGCAAAGAAGACAAACGAAGCAACTCATGAAGTAAATTGAAAGTTCAACTCAAAGTTGTTGTAACGGTCATCTTTTCTGAAGCTACTATAAAAGGATCAAGCTTTCAAACAACAAAAGAGAATAAAAGAGAAGCTCAAACACATACAAAGACATAAAGAAGTAATACTCATCAAGAAATTTGTAGAGTAACATACAAAAATATACAAAGATGAAAAACAACAAAGAAACATTCTTATTATAAATCTTCTACATATTTCTTTGTAGATTACTTGTACTTTCATTGTTGATTACATCACATCTAAAAGAGATAAAATTTAATTATGTAATCATTCACTACCTTTGTTGTAAGGGTTGAGTTTGGAGAGACTTGGTTGAAAGAATACTTGATACTAACATTAAATGCATCAACGGTAATCTCTAAGATTAGTAAAGAAGACAAACGAAGCAACTCATGAAGTAAATTGAAAGTTCAATTTAAAGTTGTTGTAACAGTCATATTCTCTGAAGCTACTATAAAAGGATCAAGCTTTCAAACAACAAAAGAGAATAAAAGAGAAGCACGAACACATACAAAGACAAAGAGAATCAATACACATCAAGAAATTTGTAGAGTAGCATACAAAAATATACAAAGTTGAAAAACAACAAAGAAACATTCTTATTGTAAATCTTGTACATATTTCTTTGTAGATTATTTGTGCTTGCGTTGTTGATTAAATCATGTCTATAAGAGATGAAACAATTTTGTAATCATTCACTACCTTGTTGTAAGGGTTGAGCCTAGAGAGGCTTGTGTAAAAGAATATTTAATGTTGAGCCTAGAGAGGCTTGGTTGAAAGAATACTTGGTGTGGAGCTTGAAGAGGCTTGTTTGAAAGTATACTTAGTGTTTGATCCTAGAGAGGCTTGGTCGAAAGAATACTTATTGTTAAGCTTGGGGAGACTTGTTCAAAAAATATTAAAGAGGCAAGTCAAATACTACTTAGGATTGAATCAAAAGTAATTTGGTAAAAAAAATACTTATAACTATGTGAAAGTTAGTAAAACTCAATTTGGTTGGATTGAAAACTGGACATAGTTTAGGTTGTTGAGACAAATCAGTATAAAAAATCTCTAATACTTCATTTGAGTCTACTCTAGTGCTTCATCTAATAAGTTATTTTCTTTTCACTGCACAAACATGTAAGTTTTTTATACACATTATTCAATCCACATTCTAGCGTGTGTCTTTCCCCCCACAGATCCTATTGATAGTA